TGCTACTTGCCACATTATTTTGTATGTATGAAATAAACCGGCTTAAATAAAACATTTTTGATGATTGAATTACTGTTTAATTAATTCTAGTCGAACCTCTTTAGAACCTCTTTAGGTTTTGGCCTCAGATTTCTGAATCTGTTTCATGATCATTTTTAAATCGAATAGGCAAGTAGATGGTTCTGTGCCTGACACACGCCGTCGACCTTTTGGGTCTAAGACATGTCGGTTTCCTCACGATATTTTCCTTTACCGATTGAGCAAATGCTAAATGCACACATAGAAAGAAAGTCCATTGGTGCACAGCCGGGATGCGAACCAACGACCTCAGGTATGAGAGTTGCACGCTGAAGCCACTAGGCCAACACTGCTCAAATATTGTACATATTTGTGTTTTACCCACCTTAATTCTGTAATAACATAACGTTGTCCTATTGCTGCCACAAAATAATTTTAAAGTCCAATCAGTAGTTCCTGATATTAGTATGGTAAACCAAACAAACAAACTCTTTAGTCTTACAATATAAGTCTAGATTGCAACATCGTTGATGAGTAAATTCATATTTTTATCTTTGAAAATTTTAAGTTTCAACTTTTCAAATATATAAGTTGAATTATAACAAAAATTTAATTTAACTTATTTTTATTAAAAAAATAACTTAACTTAACTGAATGAAAACTAAGTTAAGATATAAATAGGTAAGGTGTTAAAAATTCCAAATCACATAGATCAATATTTAAAGCAGTTGAAATTGTAAGTGTAATCATTTTATGTAATGAAAGACTACGACAACTGTAACTTATTTTAAAATAAACAGAGTACAATATTTGTAATATATAATAATTTAAATACAATAATTAATCATGTACACAAACAGAAGATGTTAATAATTTTCTATTCTTACAGTAAGTTAATACTTATTCAATAGAAAACTTATTAATACAAAATTTAAACTTAGAACATTGGTTGGGGAAAAAGTTTCTTTTTTTTAAAGAAATTCACAACATTTTTTAATATAGTTTATTTACATTTAACTAAAGTATGTAGGTACCATTTTGTTCGATAACTTCTTTCCATCTTGTAGGTAGGGACATGATCCCATTGCTATAGAAATTTTGGGGCTTCTGATCAAAATACCGCGACAATTGGTTTTGGTAGTCCTCTCGTGATGTTAACCTGACACTGCCGAAAGAATTCTGAAGAGACTGAAACAGGTGGAATCTGAAAGTACAAGGTCAGGACTATACGGCGGATGCATTAACACCTCCCAGCCAAGCTCTCTTAATTTTTGCCGAGTGGCTAAAGATGTGTGAGGTCTAGCGTTATCATTATGAAAAACCACACCCCTTCTGTTGATTAATTCCGGCCGCTTTCTCTCAACTTCTTACTTTAATCTCATCAGTTGTTTGCAGTAGAGTTCAGAATCGATGGTCCTGCCTGCTCATCATTACCGGTGGTAACAGCTCATAATGAATAATGCCCTTTCAATCCCACCACACACACAGCATCACCTCTGTCTGTGAAGCGAAACCGGCCTTTGACCACGACCTTTTTCGCACGTTCTTGTCGTACGTGATCCACTTTTCATCACCAGTTATCAGCTTCTTCAAAAATGGTTCGGTTTCATTACGTCGTCATAAAGAATCACAAATGAGTACACGGTTCATTAGGTTTCTTTCAGTAAGCTCATGAGGTACCCAAATATCGAGCTTTTTTGTGTACCCAGTTTTTTGCAAATTGCTCCAAAACGATTTTGTGGTCATTTCCCAGTTCTTCAGCTACGTCGTAACTACTGATATGCCGATCTTGCTCCACTTTTTCAAAAGTGGCATCCATTTTATCCGTAATAGGGCGACCAGAGCGACGTGCATCTTCGACATCAAAATTTCCGAATTGGAAACGCTGAAACCAAATTTGTGCTACTCGCAGACACTGCACTAGGCCCATAAACATCGCAAATTTTTTTCGCGACTTGCGTTGCATTTTTACCTTTTATGTAGTAAAATTATAAAATGTATCGAATTTCTTCATTAGATTCACTTATCTTGACAGTACGAAAAATAAATAAAAACCACACATTTTCCTAATTTAATTTGAATTATCTTCTTTAAAATTTAAACTTTTAATGATACCAAAACCAGCCAGATACAAATACTATAGCCAAAGAGATTATATTACAAGTTCATACATAGTATAATGCGAAAAGACTTTTTCCCCAACCTAATATAAACAAATCAAGAAAACATAAAACCTAAACTTTTTATAACAAATGATGAATAATGTGAATTCAGCCAGTGTGCAACTAAATATATCAGTCTTACATTTAATAGTATTGAGGGTGTAACGTGCAAACAACGCGCTCGCGGGGCTTCTAACAATTGCGACCGCTTACCACGCCTAGTGTGATTGTTTCGCAGCCCCGTCTAACATTTCCGCATTATAATTGATTTAATTAGGTAACAAAACTAAAACCTAAATGATCTCGACTTCGCCTTTCATTTCACACAAAACGTGACTACATTGAATGCGAAAGTGTAAAATAATAAAACAAGTGGGTTTATATTTTGTTTAGTATTATAATTCAGTGGCGCTACAAACATATATGGAGCTTGGCCTCAGATTACGTCCATATCTTTGACCATTTTTATTTCATCGACTAGGATCAGCCTTGTGTCTGATACATGTAGATTTTTTTTATTTGACATGGTGTTTTTGGTCTAATACGATGGGAAATTTATGTACAGACCCCACGCCGGAACAAACAGTGTGTTAAGACATAGAGTGCAAGTGACACTACTCACTAAAATCTATCGGTCCCTCTATTGCGCTATCAACGAGGCCTGGTAACAGTATGTCTTTGTCCAGGAATAGCTGAATATATGTGCTAATAGCTGTGTTTTATATAACAAATAATCTCAAATCGCGTCCAAGGTATCCGTGCCATGTATCCATTCAATATCGCAATTCAATCAATAATGTTTTTTTTTAATATTTATTAATAACTACTTTCTATTTTTCATAAAGTAATTATGCTTTAACTGAATCAAGGATATCTAGACTTTACGCCATTTGTTCACTTATTAAGAGTCAAAGGCGGTCAAAATTCAAAGCGAAATAAATTTAGATTAGATTTTTCCGTTACCTTTTGTAAAAGCAAAAGTTCACGTAAAAAGGTGAAAACATTTCAGTGTTTACGTTACAATACAAAGAAAGTTGTGTAAAGTTCACCTGGCTTCCTCGTGTTGGTTGACAGTGACGTCACGCAGCTTTCCACTGGGAAAAACCTTATAAAACAAATTGTATCAACCTCACACAAAACTTTGGACAGAGGTCGCTCGTATTTTCAACTGATGTTTGTTTTTCACGACTTCGGTCGTATTTTGTTAAGATAAAATGTCTTGTTCTTACTGGTTATGTTTTCTGGGAAACTTCTGAGAGTAGGATAATAAAGATGGATTTAAAATAAATTGAATTGCTGTGTTTGTTTACCTGCAGGCAATTATTTTTTCAAATTACATTAGTTTAGGTAGTATTTGGTCAACGTGTTACGTCAACATATATTTATTTATAACGTAGAAAGGTAAATATTTACCTTACGTACCTACCTACCTACCTACCCAGGTACCTGTTATTATTTACAATCTACGCTCATTTTAATAATGAAACTTGTAATAGAATACAATAATGAATAACTTACAATAGAGTGATATCCTAAGTTAAGGCTGTACATAAAAATAATATTAAAATGAATAATCATCACCATCCTCCTTTTTGGTCCATTTGTGGACGTAGGCCTCTTCCATCTTCCTCCAGTACCTTCCTTCTGCCCTTCACTGGCTTCTCTGGATCTACGGGGTGCCAACCTCCTTGACGATGTCGTCAATCCACCTAGTCCGTGGGCGGCAGCGCGGCCTTTCTTCTGCCGCGGTCCCCATTCAAGGACCCTGAGTGTGCGAAAATAAATAATACACTAAAATAAATTTAAAAAGTTTGGTTGCATTGGCTGGCTCTTAACTCTGGTACCATATCTCCACTGTATCAATATAAGAACGTTAATAGCAATAGGAACTTTGTGTTGATTAGAGTCAAATTTTAACATTTAAATTGTAATAATAAATTTATGCAGTCATGTGAATGCACAACCTTCTTAGACCGGCACGGCTAACAACCGGCATCTCTCATAAAGAAAGTCCAAAGTCCAAAGAAATATTCAGCAATGTCAGAATTTAATACATGGAAAAGTTCTACAATACGGCAATTAAAGTTAATGATGATTGTAAAGAATGTGGTAGTTTTACTTTTGAAATGAAAATAAAATCACGACTCAATTCAGAATATAATTCCAATAGTATTAAGTATTTATACCCGTTTTTTGTAAAGCAAATCGGAATGCACCATAGAATAGATTTTTTAAAATCTAATAAACTAAATTATGTCTACAGAAAGGTGATCCTAGTGAAACGCAGTAGCCAACTTTAGTTGGAAAATACATTTAAAATTAATACAATAAACTTATTTCAAACACGTCATTATTTTGACTAAAGAACTTATTTAAGAAATTACGTTTTTTATATACTTATAACAAGTGCCATTTGCTCATACGTTTAGTATCTTCATGAAGCCACCACATAAAAAGATCGTCAGTTAAAGAGCCGTGAAAAACTAAAATATATATTTATTTTATTATTGGGTAAAATTGACTAACGATAAAAAATCTAATATTAGGATATTGTCAATAATTACTGTAATCAGGGAGTTTAATTAATAAGACTGATTCTGATTTGATACCGAAATTCAAAAATCTATTGCTGCATTCGAATACAGCGTGTCGAAATATTGTTTTGACAGTTTGACCATGGAATAGCGATATATTTTTTCAGTGAGCGTGACCGACTGGTAAAAGAAAACCTTTCATTTATTAGGAAAAAATCACGAATTCTTGTTGTCTCGTATTAAAATAGTTTCAATGGCGATTCCGACTCAGAGTTTTTGTATAACAATGTTGCGACATACTTTATTGAGAGAACTACATCAAAAATGCATACAAAAACATTGGGTACGTTGTCGGTGTTGCTATTCGAAGTTGCAGAGTACTGGCGCTATCTTTTGTATTCATTTTCCGCATTATTACATGTCATTATATTAAAGCACGTTGCTAACAAGCTAACACAATATTGAACTTTTTCCGCACATCTTAAGGATATATGAATACTTGTTAACTTACCCTACGTTGGTTTTGGATGGGTATTTATTATTTTAAAGTAATTAAGTTACGGTTTTATTCGCATATAATATTTGGATATTGTCAAAGTGTGTACTAAATGTTAGTTTTTATGTCATTTTTAAACGCGAGTTTGCTACAAAATTATCTTATCTTTATGTTAAATAATTTTCAAAACAAAAATAATAATCCCCGTGAGAACGGGAATGTTGTTAAGTAATAGTCAGGATTATGTTCATAATATTAATAAAAAAATAATCAATTTTGACATTTAATATTATTTTAATATAGAAAGGGAAAGAACGGATATTTTTTATAGCATTGATCGCTATATACCTACCATAACTAAAGGTGGGTAATACCGCGCCGACAGGTATTTTATAATAAAGATTACTTTCAAGAAACATACGTGAGCTGTTTCAAGAATATCTAACCTCAACCTTACGAATAAGTTCAAATACTCCAACTGAATTTATATTAGCCAATTCATCATTCTTAAATGACAACCAAATTAAGCTGTCCTTCCCTTTAATTGCCTTTTGGGCGGGCTTTCCCCGAACGTATCAAATGGAGGTTATACACCCAATATTTGTTTATCTTTATTAGCTGAGTACATCGTTCACGTGGCAAATTTGTCATAGCTAGTCACTCATGATCGTGTATAGCGAATGTTATAAGAGTGTATGCGGAAATTCGTCGTAGGATTTCTGGTCGATGCAGTGCCAAATCCTTTTTTGTTATGTTGTTCTACGTCATCATGACACTATCTACATAATCTGTGAATAAATGAAATGCCGTAGCAAATGATAATTATATCAGTAAAGTGCCACATACTTTTCTTAGCCGGTAAGGTCGCTGTCATGGATATTAGTATTGCCAGTAAATAAAAATTAACCATTATAAGGGGAATAATTTGAAGATAATGAAGGCTAACATAATAATTTATTACTAGTATCTACAAAATACAGTTCTAGGCTTGAATGTGACACAAACTAAGAAACAACCAAAGAACCCAACCAAACGCACCAAGAATTTACAGAAAATAAACATGTCAGTCATTTTGTTCAGACATTTCAAAATGGCGATTGTAGTACCAATTTCAGCCGCCGGCCAAGAAAAATAACTGCCACGCCGGTTCTCTTTCCGCATAGATCAGCATCATAGTAGAGGTCTGTGTTCGATATAGATCTGTGGTGTCGCTTACCCCTTTAGTCGACTGGCGAGATTTATATACATTATTATGTTATTATATACATTATAAACTGCACTACACCTGTGTCTAATGAGAAACTTCTGCGGTTTTTTTAAGAGGTAAAATGTTTGCTTTGGTTAACTAAGAATAATTCTGATGAATTAAGATGTGGGTATCTTTATATTATTACCGACCTGTCTAATATTTTATCCTTACCAAACTCGTGACATTCAATAAACGTGACAAGAAACGTAATAATAACTAATATGAATCACTTGATTAACCAAAAACATTTAATATATACAATATACATTTCTTCAACAGGATGAAGAGCAGGAAGTGAAAAAGGAATTGCCAGTCGTGCCAAAATGTTGCGCGAGCGGGCAAAACTTGAGCGTCACAATCGAAAATGGAAAAACAAAAACAGTCTGCGCCCGGTCGAGCCTCACTTTCCAGCCAATATTCCACAAAGCTAATGAAACGCACATATGGAGTTACGATAGCAATGTGTTTGAAACTATAGTCGGGAACCCTTGTGCTTATGATAGGTGAGTTTTTTTAATAATTATGTAATTCTATTAATAATTTAAAAATTGATGTAATTCTTTTGGATGTTTGTACTAGCTGGTAAAACACTGACTTTACAAGTATAAAAACGATTTACAAAAGGAATCTTTGTTCATAAAACAACTTCTTTTGAGTATTAATTCTTCAAATTAGAAGTCAATCGGCAAAAACTGTAATAGATATACTAAAATAAGCCAGCTTTTGTTTAAGCGATCCAATTAATATATTTTAAATCGAAAAGTGTAAAACTCACTATTTCTCGTATTCATTTTGAATTTAAAAGCATTTGAAATTCTTCGCTTACACAATTTTTGACGACGTTCACATCGTCCTGTCAAATGTCAATTTCTGCCAGTTGTCGATGTGCGCGGGAAATTCAAACTGTGTTCGAATTCAAAAAGAAGTATAATCGACTTTTTTTATAAAACGTAGACTAAAAATTTCACCTATGTATCCTGTTTTACTCATGTTTCACGCCGAATTGAACTCCGCCTTCATCAGAAAATAACATTAGTCATTTTAGCTAATACTTTTATTTCTTTTAAAAACTTTACGCACTTCTTGAAGTTTCAAAAAATAATAATTCCTTCTAGAAGTTTCCTAAAGAAATAATACTACAAACTATGTTTAGGGCTAATGTTTGTAGTTCATTTAAGAATAACATCTAGCCTACAACTTATAAACACGTGCGGTAAATTCCGCAGTGGGCGGAAGTTGATTCTAAATTTAAATAAAACTTCTTCAACGAATATAAATAGAAATGTATTACATTATTTACTTAATTTATTTACTGCTCTAACAGAATAAAAAATTGTATATGCAATTTTATATGAAAATTGATGTTATTAATGTAAACTTAAAAAAAATAACTTTTTTACACAATTATTTTACACATTCCCGTTTGGTTTGTTGATGTTAGACATTCATTCACTTTACAATACGATAATTTATTCTTACGAGTATTATCTTAATACAACCGTTTAGCTATACAAATCGTAATCAAAGGCCTAACAAAAACCAGAAAATCAATCACTATGTCGATGTCTTCCTAAGCCTAAATCTGATAACTTTTCAGGTACAAACTAGAGCCGGACAAAATGAGCGAAGATGAGTTTTATCTTTTATTCAATGGCTCTCTATTCATGCCGTTCAGTAAGCCTCCGTTGTTGGGCACAAGGAATTTTTGTATGGAGACGTTTTGGAACGAATCCAATCCGGCTGGAGTGACGCTTCCACTGGTGTGCTTCTCCGCCCCTATTGAGGAAGCTGGCACGTCACCCACGCTTATCGCTTACGCAATCGGTTAGTAAGTAGTGAATTAATTTAAATTGTTTTTTTTATGGCTAAAAACAGTTCATTCTGATAATCTTAAACTCAAAATAACTTTATTCATATAGGTAAACAAGTACACTTATGAACGTCAAAAAATAAGTTAAATTATATTTACTACCAGTTCGCAAGTCAAGGGCGTAGAGCGGGCAAGAAGAACTGGCAAGAAACTTTCCGCCACTCTTTTTAATCGCTTAGTTTTGAGTCTTACAAATTGTTTGAACTGAAGCAAATCAATCCCAAGGATTAGGATCATTTAAATATTTATAAAAAGCTTTATTGATTAATTTACGTTTAACGGGGGCTTTGAATTTATTTAGTGACAATTCTCTAATTTCGCTTGGGAGTTTGTTGTAAAAACGAATACAATTTCCATATAAGGAGTAGTTTATCTTTATTAAACTGAGCTCAAGTGGATTACATTATTTATAATTTTACTTATAGGTAGATTTTGTATATGCCTTAGCAGATAAAAGATGTTCTTTATACTAAAAAAAATCCCAAATGAAATTTAAGTTTAAATCATAGTAATCACAATTCGTATGATAATTATAGAGCCCATTTATTGCAATTTTAATATTTGCTATTGTTAATAGTTTAAATTTTTCTTTCCCTTCTTCCTCACAAAGCCACAATCCAAATACGTAAATAAAATTAACGATACCTTTGCAGGCAGAATAAATAAACGAATATATTTTCAGGGTTGATAATATCAGTACCGTTTCTTCTGGCAACAGCGGTAGTGTATATCTTCATAACAGAGCTTAGAGACACACATGGAAAGGCCCTAGCTTGCCATTCTACGTGTTTAGCAATAGCATTTTCGTGTTTAGCGGCAACGCAGCTGGCCGGACATGCTTTTCCCAACACCGCTTGCTCTATAATGGGTAAGTTACCATATAGATTTATATTAATACATTCTAGGGTTTATCTATATATACCCTAGGGTTGTCACGCCTAATTTCCTGTGTGCTCTGAGTTATTTAAATTAAAAAACTGAATTAAAATACATTTAAATTACCATTTTGATGAATTATGAAATCGAACTGTCTACGTACGTATGTTATATTTAAACGTGTTTTAATGTAGTTTTATTACGATTAAAAACGAACGTATGTTTTGAATTTAAAATAAAAACTAATAGATTGATTTAAAGAAAAGAAAATTAACCAAATATGCTACCATTAGAGACTTCAATGAGGCAACTATTTATATCACATAAATACACATAGAAAAGTAAACAGTAATAGATTTAAATATTTTCAAAAAAGACTTACAATTTTTTACAGTATAGGAACATTATTTTTACATACATGGTCATAGATTGATATTCTTTGACAATTAATGCAATTAATATGTTTTTTCTTGCAGCCTACCTCATCCAGTTTTCATTTGTTTCCTGTTTTTTCTGGTTGAATGTTATGTGCTTCGACACTTATTTAAATGTTAGGTAAGATTAATTGTAATTATTTAAATATGTTTTTTAAAGCTTTTATTATAATATTTATTAGAAGCAGTGTCTCGCCTAGACTCCTTCAAAATTAAATACCTATGCTTTATACCTCCAGCGCATTTGCAGTCTTAACCATTAACTTAAAAATAATTGCAACATTTTTTTATCATATAAAAACGTTTTTATTTACAGAAGATACATAAACGCATCAGTAAGTAGAAGGAGTATGAGACGAAGATTTGCATGGTATTGCGCATACGCAATTTTACTACCAATTCTATTACTCATTATAACAATAACAATGGACCTATCACCGGCCGTACCTAGTACATACTTAAAACCTAACTTCGGCGTTAAAGGCTGTTGGTTCAAAAGTAAGTCTAAATTACTTACAAGACGGTAATCACCTAATTCAGTAACGAAATGTTTTAAAAATTAAAGTAATAATTTAGATCACGAATGCTAATTTAATTTTCTCTTTTGCAGCGGACCAGGCCGCGTTGCCGTATTTCTATGGCCCAGTGGCTGTAATCCTACTTAGTAATTTAATTATATTTCTCTTCACTTCCCGAGCTTTCGTGCGGCATTATGACAAGCTTAAGGACGTTTCACGTAAGTCAACAAATTAATCATAACGTTCTTTATTTGGGAGTGATTTTTTTTCTATAAATTTTCTTTGGCAAATTCCCCGACTATATTGTCGTCAGAGGTATGTAGTTACTAAGCAAAATAGGATTTGTAACTAGCATGATTAAATACTACTTATTTCTGTTGGCAACTTTTGTATTATATTTACAGGAAATTTTAGTAAGGTCTCTTAAAGAAAAATGACTGTGTGACCACGCACGCTGTAAAGCACGCGAAACGTCGGATAAATTTAAAATTATGTTAAATAATTGTAAATTTATAATAATACATAACTTTAATCCGGTAAAAAGTTTTTTCTTTAAATGTGTAAAGGTTATGTTAATCAAAGACAATACTAAGGTCTCTTAAGCTTTTGTTCAAGATTATTTCTTTGAAGTATTTTACTGTTATGTTCATTCCTTTAATTTGTTCAGTGTTGTAGCTGGTCAGTCAGGACATGTAATACCGTCTCTTAAGCTGTTGCAAGGACAGGCAGCATTTTGGCTCACTCTGAATCTGTTACTAAGACAATAATATTAGTTATCATTTCTCGTATATGCATCGTGTTGCAAAAGGCCTCACACATTGGCTAATAATATGATTGGTTATTGTTTTTTCTTTCATGTAAGTTTTAAGGGCAGTTTTTAAAATTATTTATTGATTTTAATATATGATATATATTATATATTTATTATATTAGATAGATGATAAGATATGTATAAAAAGTTTTATGATAAATATAAATTAATAAATTCTATACATTATACATTGAAGTATATAACTAACCTTAACATAAACTAAAATATATTATTAAAAGGACTCCCTTTAGGCAAGGTTCCGAAGATACTGGCAGCGTTCCCCCTTTGAATCGCTAGACTAATTCTTTGTCCGAGGTAGCTGCCAGATCTTCGGTCTCCTGTGATGTCGACTAACCTTTTTTGAAATTTCTTAAAAAGCCTTAAAGCGCTAGGACCCCACGGACCAAGGGTCTCGACACCGAATGGGACAAAATCATATTCTGAGCCTAGACCCCCATATTTGCATGCTTTTACAGCCGCTTCAGAAGCCGCACCAGCTCTGTAGTTGGTTCAATATCATATATCTTATTTATAATATATAATAATTGAAACATATTATAATAACGTAATTACACAGATTTTGGTGTAGGTACTCGTACATTTTTATATAATAAATTTAATAATTTCAGATGACAAATCTTTAGGAAAATGTTTACAGAGACATTATTATTAGATATAAACTTTTAAAATTTACACTTTTCTTATTTTTAATCATAAAGTTTAAATTTTTAACTGTTTGAGATTTTTATACTGTAACATAAGCTAAATCCATTGTTTATTTGAATTTTCGTGAGTGTATTTTATTGTGAGCAAGTGTTTTGTTCGCGTGTATGGCTAGTAAAATGTTAATTTAGTACTAACAAAAGAACGAAATCACTCTTTGTTTTATCTTTATTGTCTGAAATTAAAAACCCGTGGTTTATAAGCTCAGTAAAAATGTGTAAAAATTTAGGTTTAAATTAAGTTGTTATGGAGAAAAATTGTACTTTGTTTTATTTATTACGAGTCAGATAGTACGTATTTTATTATTTGTCTAACTACCTTCACGAACGATACATTTTAAAGTAAAGGGATATAGGCATACGTATATATAATATATATGGGTGTGGTTCCCACGAGAATGTAAGTGCGTTCTCCTATTTCACCATACCTACTGCTAATAGAGAACAAATCTTTGTTTTTTATTATTAATTACTTAAGATGTCACGTGGAACACGGCGTAATGGTTGCAGCTCGTTGCAACATTTTGTAAAACAAAAAACTGGGCGATTAAAAAGAGTGGCGGAGAGTTTATTGCCAGCTCTTCTCGTTCGGTCAACGCCCTTGATTTGAGAACTGACAGTAAATGTAAAATTATAATCATTTAGCATTTTATATATATTTCTTTATTGACATTCATAAGTGTACATTGTGATACCTAAATCAATAAACGATTTTGAATTTTATGCCATTACCGCACAATCGGTTTGAAGCAGTTTGCCATATTGTATTTATAAAAAAAACTACTTTAAATACATACACAATATCGGATTAAGCAAAGGTATTGTTGACTCAAGGAGCACGTTTGTGACATTTTTATGAAGGGATTTGCTTTGAGAATATAAACTCGAAATTACAAAGTTTAGTATTAAAAGGCTTTTAATGTTAAATTTAGTTCCTTAATAAGTTAAATAAGAATATTTTTGCAGCCTTAGACCTAACGCACTCAGAGTTCAGTACATCTGATGATTGGGTGCGACTCAACACGGTGCTAGGTCAGCCTGTGGCCGTCACTGAAACTTCACCAACCAGAGAGCCGCGAGTCAACTTCAATCAGAGGTTAAAGAAATATAAGAAATTGTAAGTATATTTATTAAATTTCATTAGAAATACAACTCACCACCTCCACGTCTGTCGTTCCACAACGGAGCGTTTTTTGCTGCATACCACCGTCCACCACTATGTGGAACCAGCTGCCCACTGAAAATTTTCCGAACCAATTCGACTTAGGGTCATTCAAAAAAGAGCGTACCAATTCTTAAAAAGTCGACAACGCACTCGCGAGCCCTATGCAATTGAGTGTCGATGGATATAACTTAACATCAGATGAACCTCTTGCCCGTTTGCCCCCTGTAGTATAGAGGATCGAGAAGCAACTATAATTGGTTTTATATAATTGCACCAATCTTGTGTAATAGATGTCTATGGGCGGCGGTTACACTTAATATCAGCAGCAAACGGGCAGGAGGTGAGCCTCCTGCCCGTTTGCTTCCTGTTACATAAAAAAAACTCAATTAAGGCCAATTCACATAAATCAGTGAAGCCACAGTTCCGTCAACATGTCCGCTCAGTTCAGTATCAGTGATACAGTATTGCGTCAGCCATTCAATTCACATATGTCAGTACTCAGCTTACGGAGCTTCAGTGAAAACGTGTCCGTCGTCGAGTAACGTGATTATGGCTCTGTTCAATACTACGGAGCTAGCAATGATAGCTGTTGCTTTAAAGAAGAAGAGCAGCATCAAGGAATAAAAAGAAAATGGGTGCATGAAGCGTGGCGATTAAGGGAGATGGAAGGAGAATTCATCACATTATACAAAGAATTAAAGAAAAAAGAAATAAAATATTTTGAATATTATTAAATGTCGATAAGGACAAAACATAGTTCAATTACATATTAATACTTACTTTTTATGTTTAACGGGATTAAGTTTCTTCTTAGCTACCCAATTACCTATTAAACTAAAGTTTATTAGATTATTACTTCCTTTGAGTTTCATTGCGATCGTGAATAGTACTCGTGAAAACCAAAGAAAATATGATAAAAATATTAATATTCATAGCACGTTCATATTAATCAGGCGATGATTGACACAGCCTCCCTTGAGCACTTATTAATGAAGAAATTCGTTCACCTGACCCGCATATATTGTGTCGGGAATCTAGGTCTTACGATCGAAGCGTGTTTGCTAAGCCCGCATTGAATTGAATAATTAGTGGAGAAATTTCATAATGTTATACTGTCTTAGTTTTCATTTGTACAGCTCTGTACAAGATAGAGTATTAAATACAGTTTATTTTAATACATAGTTTTTATCCGTCGTAATCTGTAATTAAATATAATATATAATTCAGACTATTTAAATATATCGTGTATACTTGTTCTATATCACAAGTATACACGATATATTTAAATTTAAACACACGTTAGACTTTGATAGTTTAATATTAGAATATAATAAATTGGTAATATGATTTTTTCACAGTAGAATTAACAGTTAATACGTATATATATATAATAATAGAAACTTTATTTCCTCCATCTTCGATTTTTTTCCCTTTGGAGTAGAGACTCTTTAGCCGTGGGGTTCAAGTGTATGTATTTTTATTATTACTACTAGAAACCAACAATAGTAGAAATGGCTTGTTTGCTTGTTGTATACAGAGGAAACAATTATTGATATTATACAGATTTCGCAAGTGCTGCCTGCTATCCGCCATCATGGGTATATCCTGGGTGCTGGAGGTGGTATCTTGGGCAGCGGGTGCTGGTACATCCGCAGTGTCAGTATGGTCGGTGTTCGACCTTATCAATGCATTGCAGGGTGTCGTAATATTCGCCATCTTTGTATTGCAACAACCCGTCCGATCGTATGTTAAGGTAAGGAACTGATGTTATTAATAATAGACGTATTAATAGTAGACGTTGTGGTTTATGAAATTTTCCTTTGAATAATTGTAATGTAGAGGGAGGGTAAAAATTGCTGAGTTTCTTGGACGTTCTTCTCAGAACAAGGCCTCCTGGTAGTCTTGCTCTTTCGCGAATTTTGTAAACGTTTTTGACATTCATAAGCATGCCCTAAGACGCATCTAAACTGAATAAACGTATTTTGATTGATTGAATAATAATAAATTGTATATTTGTACAAAACGTGGTACGTTCAAATTGATTAATTCATAATTGATTCCATATTTTTATTTAATACTAATTTTACTAATATATTTTATTATAAAGTTTTTATTCTCGGTTTACTCGCTTGGTAATGGAGGTCACTAGGTGAAGTAATAATAATATCGATATCGTTAAATTACTTTTAAGATTCCAAATACAGTTTTAGATGCACTTGTATCGTAATCTTCGTTGTCAGGTATCCTGATGAATGGGACGATAAGCTCTCAAAAGAATTTGTAATGTATCAAAAATACACATAAAATGTTGCCATGTTAAAATAGTATTTTTATTATCTTAACACACTGCAAACCCATAACTATTGTGAAGCATGCCCAACACAACTCCTTTTTTTAATGGCTTTTATTTGTGCCAACTGGGCACAAAGTACTTCGCCCAGTGTCGTGTAGATGGAGAAGGCACGAAGGAGATTGATCGGTGAAAAAAATAATTTAAAAAAGTTGAAATTCGGTTGTTAGTTTTAAGACAGCATAGACAACACAAATATGAGTAATAACATTATTAAATAAAAATAAAAAATAAAAAATATATGTTTATTATGGAACATAAGATACATGTATCACTTATTCCATGTCATTAAATTTGAATTTGAAATACCTACTTTTTCCGATTATTTATATATATATTACACTTCTTCTTACTTTAAGTGTAAATAGTGACAAATGACTTAAGCACTCATTTGTCAAATAGCGCTGACGCGTGATATTAGGTGGGGAAGAATTAAAAAAGCTTCTATTACGTTGATAAATTTTCAAATTAAAATTACCTTGTGTTATCGTATACTTATACTATACGTAAATTTGCAAAATTAAATTTTAAATATATTTATAAGATTAATTAAGAAAGCAATGTTAAGTGCCTATCTTGAACCTACTCCGCTGTTTTGCTGGTTTTTCTTTGTGCTTAACAAAAATTTCTGGTATTTTTATTCTATCTCGTATATATTTTAAATGTATTTTAATTTTTTTTATGTAACATTTATGTTTACCTAAACTGTCATACATATTAGATAAAAGAGTTTGAAAACGTATTCCGTAGATTTAGTACTATCTGTGACGTGGTAAATTTCAATACATAAATAAGATTATATAATCTAATATATAAAATTCTCGTGTCGCGGTGTTTGTAGTTAAACTCCTCCGAAACGGCTTGACCGATTCTCATGAAATTTTGTGTACTTATTGGGTATGTCTGAGAATCGGACAACATCTTTTTTTCATCCCCCTAAATGTTAAGGGTAGTCCACCCCTAAATTATTATTTTTTAATATTTAGATAAAAAAAAATAATTTTTATGATACAGCATTCAAAAATACATACAACCCCTAATTTTCACCCCTCTACGATCAACCCCTATTTTTTATTATAAATGATAAAAAAATGTCAAAACGACGTTTGCCGAGTCAGCTAGTTACACTATAAGATTTTGTGTTTCAAACTAATGACAGGCCATAATTGATGATCAAGACAATGGCAAAAATGCAAAATGTTTCCTTAACAGGATAATTATTGATAAATTGATATTATTATTAATAAATTGTCCAGCAGTATTTCCGTCAAATTTAAAATTCTTAATCCTTTACAGCTGTCAAAACTCTACAGCGCGTGTAGAAGAAGAAAAGACGAATCAGAAATATCCGTAGTGAGTGACAGAAACAGTATGAGTGGTACGGGCCGAAGAGATTTTGTGTAGTGAACATCGTGGAACAGGGCTACCATGAATTGACATTTCAGTATAATTTTCTATAAAACAAATATGGTCGGGCCCTCAGGGTGTAGTGAAAAGTACCTACTAAAGATGAATGAATTTTCCTGATGCGTAATAACTATGAAATTAAATTAAAGGCTTCGTAAAATTTACAAAAATCTGTATTAAATTCACCTTTGTAAATATTGCTTTTTGTAACTGCGTTGTCTGTCTGTGTTGTTCAGGCGAACCTGATAATCAATAAATAAGTGTTGCTTCTTTTCACAATTGTTTTGATAAATATTACATAATTCATATAGAAACTTACTTTTTGGAAGCCTTTAAAATTAATTTAAGGTTTTCTCAAGAAAAAGAAAACAAATCCCTAATTAACGATATTAGAGACTGATTTTATTACAGTATTATGTGATTTTAGTAGAAAAATCGCATGTTTGGAACATGACTGAAGTTCCTTCGTACTATTATTCAACAAATCATAATAACGACCTCATATAAAATAGCACCGAGTTTCTTACCATGTACACAACTTTTAATATGTAAAACTTCGTAACCATGGTAACAAGCAAGGTAATAGGGTTATATAAGGTCCTTATTTCAGATTAAATTGGTTGTCACTGTTCTAATGCACAGTTTTAACGAAATTGCGATCCCGAGTTTTGTAATACCGCGCGCTTCTAATGTCGCGACGCTGCGCATATTAAGGGACACCGGTCGCTCGTCGATATTGTCAATGTACTGACCAATACATTAAGTTAAAACCGCGTAGTTAGACTGATAACTTAAATTAGTCTTTCGTTATAATTTATTTGTATAAAATATGTAACAACTATAATAGATAAGTTTGTGTTTCTTGATTTAAAGCTTAAAGTGTAAACAAACTTTCGGTCTAAGATTTTATTGTAAATTGATTTTTATTTTAACATTATTATATTTGTACATAAACAGTTTGTGAAATCTTTTACATGTGATTTCTTGTAATTTATATAGTTTCTACTGTGCAAAACCTATGCTTTCAATATATTTAAAACCTGCTTTATTTTAGCAATCATAGTAAATGTTTTGAGGCTATAAATTATTTTTATACTAATGACCAATAATTTGAAACTTACGAGTCGTAACTGCTACTGACATAAACGTAAGAATGAAAAAATCAACTCAGGATTTCATACTTAGTTCGTTCGTAAGTTCGTAGTTCGTAATTGTCATACATTGAGTTGCTGCAGTTGTAGCTTGAGTGTGCGTCTCTTAACCCTAAGGTCGCGCGTTCAAATCACGGCTGTACACCAATGGATATGACCATATTACACTCGGGCGGACAGCGAAGAAAATCAACGCGAGGAAACTCTGCCTTAGACCCAACAATCCGACGGCGTATGTCAGGTACAGAAGACTTCACCTACTTGCCTATTAAGAAAAATAAATGATCACGAGGGGTTAGAGGCCCGGGCATAAAAGGGCGCAATTGTTTTTTTTTCATTGTCGCTATATCAGACAAGGTAAATTTTAGTACCGTTTCTTTGCTTGATAATTGTTATTTTTTGTATATTATTTTTTGTGTTTGTTCTTTAATAATAAACAATTAATTGCGATACACTAGTGTGCCATAGATATTTATTATGAATTTTTCCATCTTCAAAAACTTAATACTGTAAACTGAATTGAATATTTTGTCCTTATCGCACTTATGTCAAATAAAATGAGCGTGACAAGTCTTCAATATACTAACGATTTAAACAATTGACAGTCGCATTTTACTTGGGCATCACAAAATTAGTTATATTTGTATGTGTTTATTCCCATAACGGGTGCTAGTCATAATTATTTTAAGCCATAACTATGCATCGCCAATAGACAGTTTGTACGTTATCTGTGCTTATAAAATTCTATAGTCTATCGAAGTTGTATGAATGTTATCTGTGGATATGTTTACTCTGTTATAGTCTAGTCAATAGCTGTCTTAATTTGCATAATCAAAATTGAATATATGTGGTATTTAAGCGGGCTTCTAACATTATAAATGTACTATAAACCGCAGATAGGTATTCAATGTTTGGTCCGAACGCTAATACATAAACAATATCTGAACAATGTAAGTTTGTAGTACGTTTATTAACACCGTTATGAAGGCGTAATTGCGAAAAAGTTTTGAAAGCAGTCCCTTTCTATCTTGGAATAGAATACATTAGCATGAAAGGGATAGAAAATATACAGCGTGATTAAATGATCATACTTTATAGAGTTTTCATATTAATGGAGTGGGAATCATAGCGGCGACCTTGGTGAGATTCAGAACGAGACTTAGCGCAAACAATGATTATCTTATGTCAAAATCCTAAACATCCATGACGTAAGGGAGTCAGACCTAGAGCTAAGTCAAATTTCTGAGTACAACCTTATCTACTACGTGTCTGTATGATGACTCGCAACAATTACACCTCATAAAAATACTACACGGCCGTAATGGATTATTTTCAATAATTTGTAAATAATGCTTTTTATAATATTGTCTTTGGTTTATACATAAACTCTTTAAAGAATATAAAAATGTAAAACAGTGAAATGTAATAAATTCGCGTGTATCCGTTAAATAAGTTTTTTAAGTGCTTTGTATAAAATCAAAATTCAAACTTTACGACAATAATTAGACATAAAATATTTTTAATTGTTTTGCTCTTCGTATAATTTTGTCTTAATTTATATAATGTATATGTGTACCTATAATTGTTAAATGTTATGGAATTTAAGGAAAATAAAAATGTATATTTGTCTATTTTGCAAACATGACGTTAAATAAAGAAGCTTTATAACTGGTTGTTTTATTTTGACCATCTGAATTGAAGACGAAAATTATATATAACAGGATATTGTTCATCTCAATTTGATAGTCTTGGATTCGCACTTGGTGCAACATCTTTTTACTTGGAAACCTGTAAAATAGTCAAACATAGTATTTATATATTATTAGATATTAAAAACTACATAGCATACATTGCAAGAAAATTTACTTCGATAAACATAGGTATATAGCCGGCCGCACAAGAATCAACTGTTAGGAAGTTTAAAATAGCGCGTATTTTTTAAAACTCTCGCGCTAAGCCTTAAATTATCGAAACAAACGGATAAATAAACCCTATTCTTCATAACGATAGGTGCACTTTTATAATTGAAAATGGCGTAGACATATATTGAGGAGAATTCTCGCCGAAGAAGCATCCACTCTGGGCTGAGGTCCGATGGCAAACTAGGTAACATCGGCATTCCGACCATGTATCAATACGCAAATGAACTTCATGACTCTGCTTTGTATCTTCTGGTTTATGAAGAATAAGTGGTTGTTAGATACAAGTAGCTAAAGTATTACAATAATTTTCATACGTAATATTTATGTTATTATAAAATAAATAACAATTGAATATTTTGATATAACTTTGGAAATAAAATTGAAGAAATCATTATGTATCTTATTAAGATTATTGTACTGGTCACTTTATAAAATTAATAATAAGTTAGAGAAATAATTAATCATTAAGAGATTTTATGGCATCTTGAGCGCATGGGCCAAGATCGGGCGGTGGAGAGCCGGCCTCACTAGGCCGTCGGAAATCTGTAGGTCGGAATAGATACCTACCGATGAATCAACAGAGTGGAGTGGACCGGCTGCAACTGAAAGCCAGCAGGACAGCGCAGTAAGATTCTCATTTCGGAGGACTAGACACTTTTTGGGTCGCAGAGCCACCAGAGTAAGTAAGAGATTTTATGACGAATTCTAGCGATTTATATGTGTACAAGTGACCGCAAAAATGTTCACATTCGTATAATGTATGAGGATATATATTGGATTATTCGAGTCAAGAATTGGAGTATTTTGCATGGCTGAATGGTTTTCGCATTTCCAATCGGTATTTCTAATAATAACGGAATGGGGTGATCCGGGTGAGGCTCGGTCTAATCTCATGGAATTCCTTTAAAGCCTCGCAAGCCTGGCGTCTAGATGTAGCATTTTCTGGCAAATGGAACGGAAATTCTAAATTCAATTTTTTATAGGATTTTAGTGGAAATAAATCTCATAAATAATCGACGTAGTTTTCAGTGTATTTTTTTTAACTAGGGTTAAACAACATTCTGTGCAAATTATAATTTGTCTGTAGCTAGTCGTATATGTATTTATTTGATTTCCATCTAAATCTATTCAACCAGCAACATCCAACAATTTACTACGTGATATTAGATGTATGTTTAATTAAAATAAGAAATTATGTTAATATAACCTAATAAACAGTTAACATATCCCTGACGTTATGTTCACACAATATCTTATCTCGAAGTCACAATGCACTAACAATTCTAGTTCCAACTGAGCCAATCACATAATGCGCATTCGATGTTTGTCCCCATTTGTCCCACATGCCCCGGAATGGCAGATACGTTGACATATCCCGAACATCTAGAAGCGTTGCATTAGTTATATTTACAGTGAAACAACCTATTTTAAAATCTTTTGAATCTATTTTAAAAAATAAACGTTCATCCGAGAAGGGTAGAACGCAAGCTGATAAAAAATTAAATGTATGTTGCTTTCGTGTTTTCGAAAGAAAAATCATCAACATAGGTGAAATCGGAGGCCAAGTTGAACAGTTCTACCTCTTAAATAAAATATTATGTAAAATTGTTTATAATTATCTTGCTGTGCTCGCGATTTCGTTTTGATTCTTATAATGACGCCTTCAATCGTTTCTGAACTAAGCACGTTCAACGTCTTCAGGGTTACATTTGTATATAAATTGTATGGTTTATTTCTTTCAGATGAATACGTAACATTCTCAAGTCATAGTTAAAATATAGCATAACCCAGTATGTTCACGACATTATGTTTAGAACAACATCCACGATCAGTATGGTATAGAACCATGTCGTCGATTTTGTGATGTGATGTGTAATCATTGCGCAACTTTTTACTTGGAATGGCCCAGTGGGAAAGAGAGGAC